GACTAAAACGAACATGCTGTTAAGAGGGTTAGTAGCAGAGGTGGTTGGTAGGGGGGGGCGCCTACTACTACTACTACTACTACTACTACCCTTAATAGTAATAATAGGAATAACAATAACAATAACAATAACAATAGTAATGATAATAATAATAATACGGATCACAAGCCCTGCAAACCCTACTTGCGATTCTGCAAGGTGACGCTTGATGCGTCATCTGCTCATGAGCGTGTTGAACTGCTTCCTCATTGGTTTTGATTTGCTGGCCCTTCTGAAACGACAACTCAAACCAAAAACACAAAGCCCAAGCTTTGGCCGTAAAGCCGGAAGAAATTTTGCAAAGTGAGGCCAGCTTATCTATGCCCGAAGGAACCGCTTAAACAAGCACTCAAACCCTGAATCTTGAACTCCTGAAACTCAAATCCCCCATTCAACCCTGAAACACACCCTTTTCAAAACCCTCTCATAGAACCCTGACAGCTGAAACCCTAAACCCTAGACCCCCAAAACCCAAAACCTCTACACCTCAAAACCCTACAGAACCCTAAACCCTAAACCCTATAGAACACTAAACCCTAAACCCTCTAGAACCCCAAACCCTATAGAACCCTAAACCCTAAACTTTATAGAACCCTAGACCTTCACTCAACAGAACCCCTTTTGATCCTCCGAATAACTACCTACACTATTTTGGGGGTTCCTGATTATCATTATAGTATCATGGCCCCCAAAACCCTATTCTAACTATTAAGGCCCCTAAACCCTAAACCCTCATAGAAGCCCCTATAGAACCATTTAAGGAACCCTTTAAAGGAACCCACCAAAACCCTGTTCTAACTATTAAGGCCCCTAATATAGAACTGTATTATAGATCCCTGAAAGAACCCTTTAAAGGAACCCACCAAAGCCCTATTCTAACCATTAAGGCCCCCAGTTTGAATTCCTTACAATACCCTTTAGAGTAACCCCTTTGAAGGAAGCCTTAAAGGAACCCTATTCTGACTAGTAAGGCCCCTATATTCAAGGATGGGCCTCCCGAGCCTTGGCTCTGCCCTCAGGGCCTCCATGGCTCTCCTGGCCGAGTGATGTAAGGGCCTTAATAGTTGGAATAGGGCTTTGGCGGGTTCCTTTAAAGGGACCCTTAAAGGGTTCTATAGGGGATCTATAATAAAGTTCAATATTAGGGGCCTTAATAGTTAGAATAAGGCTTTGGGAGGTTCCTTTAAAGGGCTCCTTCGGGGGTTCTATGAGGGCTTCTACAAGGGTTTAGGGTTTAGGGGCCTTAATAGTTAGAATAAGGTTCCTTTAAGGCTTCCTTTAAAGGGGTTGCTATAAAGGGTATTGTAAGGAATTCAAAATCGATGCCTCAATAGTTAGAATAGGGTTTGGGTGGGTTCCTTGAAAGGGATCCTTAAAGGGGTCTTTTTGGGATATATAATAAAGTTCTATATTAGGGGCCTTAATAGTTAGAATAGGGTGTTGGGTGCCATTATACGAAAGTTATAGTAAGGAACCCCCAAATAGTATAGGTAATTATTAAGGCCCCTGCATTATCTCTCTCTAAGGGTCTAAGGAGTTAAAGGTCGAGGGCTTAGGGTTTCGGGTTTAGGGCTTCTTAAGGGTCCGGGGTCTAGGGTTTCGGATTTGGCGTCTCGTCTACGGGCCTTGATGATTAGAATCGGGTTTGGGGTGTATTGTACTCTAGATCTGATCATAACGAACCCTTCCGGGCAATGTTGGTATTTATTCCGGCTTCTATGTAATTTATCCCAGACCCTAAACCGTAAGAGCGAGCTCGATCATCGCTGAAAGGAGTCAGCTAGCACAGGCTGTTTGGTGACTGGCTAGGATGCGTCAATCGGGCTAACAGCCCGGTTGAACTTGGAATTCAGAGAGATCCGAGCTCCGCAAACTGTCAACCGGCTACAAACCGTAAAGCCGATGGTCCATCCTGAGTTCCGCAGATCAACAAGCCTACTGTTGAAACATCGTCGGATCTCCGATCTCCCCCTCAGTTTCCAGAAGTGTCAGTCCGAGTTCCGAAAATCGACATACCCAGAGACTCCAATACCCCTTAATTAAGGAATATACCTTAAATTATAGTATTATAGTAGGCTCCCTAATAAGATTTAAGGTATATTCCTTAATTAAGGCGTATTGGAGTCTCTGGGTACAGGAGTTCCGAAAATGACCTATCCAAGCTTCGAAAATGGCTCAATCCTCAGTGCCGAGAATAGTCAATTCCAGCGCCCTGCAGGTTTTCAGGGCTTCGGGCTCCCTTTACAGTTTTTCTTGGGGTTTCAGCGGTTGGGGCTCCGTTCAGGATGCCGGATTCAGGCAGATTAAGGGTTCAGGGTTTATATAACCTCTCAATGAGGCTTCTTCCCGAAACCATCCCCAAACCCACCCCCAAAATTGAGCATGACAGGACTACGCCGGACGAAGCGGGCAAGGGACCTGTCAACCAAGACCCTAAAGCCTAAACCCCTGATGCTCCATTGTTCGGGCCAATAGCAAAGCCTCCGCCCGTGCCCTGCCGCCTCCTCCCCTGCTTACACCCTCAAGCAACCTGGGCCATGCGGTTCATGTGAAAATTCTGTAGGCTTAGAGGGTCTGGCGACCGTCTAGGGTTCAAGATTCACGGTTTCAGGTTTGGGAGTTTCCGAAAATAAGGGGTACCTTATTTTGGGGGTCCTTATAATAAGGATCCTACTCTTTAGGGGACTATATTAGGGTCCCCTATTTTCGGAACCCCCATTTGGGACCCTAGGAGCGCCCCAGGGGAAGACAGGCCGGAGGGCACCATGAGCTTTTGAGTCAGGAAGGAGCCCAGTAGCCACTGAGCTTTCGTGGGCTCCTGGCAACGGTTTAGGGTTTAGGGTTTAGGGTCAACATCCAACCCCCAAAGCTCGCGGCTCAGACTCGTTGATTCCCGGAATATAGTTAAGCTACCGCTACATACTAGTTGCAGGCAATGGATTTGTAGAGACGATGATGACAACAATGATCGTCGCAACAGTATTTTATCAGCTAACATCTTAATATACACCTGGAATCACGATTGCCCCAATCCGAACATGTAGCCCCGATACGACCAAAAAGAATCATCGGGGTCGTAGCAGCACTGGTAGCAGCAGCAGTAGCAGCAGGAGCAGGAGTGGTGGCGGTGGCGGTGGCGGTGGTGGCGGCGGCGGCGAATGTAGCGTAGTACTTGCTGTCGTCGGAATAGTCGCCGCTGCCGGATTCAGGCTTTGCGGCCTTGGAGGGATCCCCACTTTTCAGGTCCTGCTCTGCCCAGGATGCTGTCAAGCCGTGCGGATCCGAGAGGTAACGCCTGCGTCAGGACCACGTGCTGAAGGAAGTGATGTGGGTAGTGCTCTATATTAGGGTCCCTTTTGAGGTCCCCAGAATAGCACGGTACCCTGAAAAAATGAACCTAAAAGGGACCCTAATTGAGAGAACTACCCATAGGGAAGCGGTTGTAGTGGGGGTCTGGCAATGGTCATGAGAGCAATATGAAACATCAATGGTAAAGCTTAAAATGCGATTCAGAATGCTGCGGATATCTACTGAACATACGTACTCGTAGTTAAACAGGGGCACCGTGGATGCCACATGTAACCGCAGTGTGAACTACATTCGGTTCGTTGGTGCTGGGACCAAAACACAAATCCTGCCTGATGGCCGCATCGTCCCGCAACGCAGATCCCTCCATGACGTCTGAGAAAGCCGAGGTGACGCGGGCAGCAGGGTGGACTCCGCGCCTGCAGCCCATGGTGCAGAAACAGCTCATGAAACAAGTGAATAACACCGAGACCCCGGCGGTGTCGGAGCCGTGGTTTCTGCCAGCTTCAAAGCCATCTGCACATCTTCGGGCGAGAGGTTACCGGCAAAGCGCAGGGGTGTGGCGGCGAAGATCGGAGACTCGCTGGGCTGGAACTGCACTTTGTCGCTGGCTTCTGCCACTAGCAGCAGAGGCTCCGGATGGGTTGCGGCCAGTTCAGAGAAGAGCTTACTGTAGAAGCCTTGCAGAACCTCCGTGGCCAAGGAGGGATACTCTCTTCGAAGGTCCTCCAAATCCGAGGGAAGGAGCAAAGCGGCCAAGGTTGGCCGGGCAGCGAAGACATCCAGTGGGCAAGGCTGCACGCCTCCCAGAAGGTACTCAAGACCTACAACGTCTCCGGGATCGAACCACACAGAGGGCGAGCTCCCAGCTTCCCGGAAGCCTGTGAACTTGCCGTCTAACACAATCAGGGCTCCTTCTAAAGGCTCTCCACGAGCCAGCACGCTGACACGTGGCTGCCACTGAGCCACGCGGAGCCGGCAAGCCAAGGCCAACAAGGAATGATAGTCTGCGCAAGGGAGAAGCTTTCCTTCATCTCTCAGTCTTACGAGAAAGTCCAGGACCCGGCGTTCCGTGAAGGCTGCCAGGTTCCACTTCAAGCGGTTCGAGACGGGACAGCCGCGAAAGAAAGAGCCTGATGAGTCAGCGAGTTGCATCAGCAGGACTCTGAGCAGCGAGTGGTGGAAGGCAGGCCGCGACCGTCGCAGAGATTCCAGTTGATCGAAGCTCAGGACAGCAATGCAGCCATCCTCCAGGGCCCTCAGAGTGTAGGGTCGAGCATGGCTCCTCTCCCACAAGGCAACCCGGGCACTTCCGACGATCTCGCCTGCCTGGTGGTTTCCCAAACGTAGCTCGCTGCCGATTTGGGGAAGGCTGGCCTGGGCTCTCCCAGCCATCAGCAGACCTAGCCAAGAAGCCGGCTCGCCCCGCAAGAAAAGGATTTCCCCTCGTCGAAAGCCCAAAGGGGAAATCAACTCGGCCAGATCCTCCAGCTCCGCCAAACTCAGCTCCGCGAAAAGGCCATGGTCGCGGCGGAAGCGCCTCAGAACGTCTGCGGTCCCCACCACGCCAAGCTCCCGTGTGGGGGGTCTCAGCTCCACCGCAGCTGGCGGATCGATCATCTTCTTCGGGGCCTCAATCCGCCTCGCCAGCGACGGCAGCGACACATCTGCCTGCGGGGTCAGCATCTTCGAGAACAAGACCACCAACTGCACTAGCCACTATCCGAATCCCCCCTTTGAACCTTCGGCCCACGAAGCTAAGCTGCAACTCTGGCCTTCAGTCTGGACTCAGGCTCACCGATGCGGGCCGGCGGGCTGTGTCCAGGCGAACCCCGGCGAGGTGAACCGCGCGGAGGGGAGTCCAGACGCCGTGCACCAGGAGGAGCCCCAAGCTGCGGTGGCAGCAGGTGCCCTTAGAAGGCAAGACAAATGATCTGCCTGCAGACACCGACTTACTACCTGCCGCCGCGCACCTGTCTGCATGGCCATGGCTGCGTCACGTGCCTCTGCTCAAAGGCGCCATGGCATCGACTGAAGTGCCGACATAAGATGTGTCTAACAAACTCCATATACTATCTACCATGCGAAGGGCTCATATATAGTAGTCGGTCCATGTTATCCGGAAGAGGACTGTAAGGGCCTGCAGTCATGTTTGGACTATCTTGTTTCTGAGGCCAGAGGTCAGAGGTCCCATGGTAGCAGAGTCATGTCGCGATAGCCATGGCCTTTTCCTACCTTTACGACACAGAGCAGCCTAACAAACAACTACGCATTGAGCCGCCAGAAACGCAACGCATCAGCGTACACACGCAGGATGTCCGTCTGCTGGGATTCCCCTGCATAGTAGCACCATCGTGAAGCGGCTGTTAGGTTTTCCACGAGTCGCCGCCCAGCTTGCGGAGCCACGGCTTCTCCTCGAGCCGGCCCTCACATGGCACAGCATGCCCGCGATTGTAGCGGCCCAGCGTCGGCACCCGAGGCGCATCCGTCACCACCAGTCACAGGCTGTCCAGGAAATACGCGGAAGTCATGGAAGTACCTCAAGCCGAAAGCACTCAGAGCCGCGAAACCCGACTTAAGGCTCACAGGGCGCGCGAGGATCATCACCGCTCCGGAACGTGGATCAGAGCTCAGCCTTCCGAGGGGCTTCGGGCGGAGGCGGCCCTTTGTGTGTATACTACTATGATTAAATTATTGCTGCTACTACCCTTGTAGTTATAACAACCATTAACTACTATTCTTAAGATTAATATGTTTATTACTACTACTGCTATGTTGCTGCTATTCTTGGAACTACGATGAAAAATACTAGTTGTTGCTGTAAGTTACTATTGTTCTTACTTCGTGTCGTCCTTGAACGACTCTTCTTTCCATTAATTAATGTAGGGGCCTTAATAATTAGAAAAGGGTTTTGGGTGCCATTATACTTTTATGATCATCCCCTAACCCTAAACCCCTAAACCCTAAACCCCAAAATAGTATAGGTACTTATTAAAGTTCCTATGTTACCCGAAGTGTTGGGCCGGGCCTTGCCGGCCTTCCCCTCAGGTAGCGACGGCGTTGCCTCGAACTCTGCCTGCTGTAGGGATAGCGGCTTCAGGGCTTGGGGGTATTATTAAAGTTCTAGCATTATTATTTATTATTGTAGTTATCATGATTACCGCTTATCATCCCTACATTAGTATTCTTTGCCCCAGTGCTTGAAAGAAATGCCAGCCTGAAGATGCTGCACTTCGTCGTGGAACCTTGAGTCGCGCAAACTCCCGTCGAAAGGAAGCATGGAAGCATTTCCCTACAACGACGCAGGGCCGAATAGGGCCTTTTGACCCTAAGCAGGCTGTTTCACACAGAACCCCATCCCCGACATCTTTTATGAACAGGCTCGTGACCGGCGCCTGGAAACAGGCATGAGACGGCATGAGGGCTTCCATACATGGTACTTTGGGGGATACCATGTTGCGCAAGTTTAATTAGCAGTTGTCGAGGAGGCGGCGTTTGCCACTCCGAAATGATACGCTTCGCCATCACGATCTTGGGCTCCTTTCGTCGTGCTGACCGCCCTGTATTGCAGTCAAAACTCTGCAAAACCCCATCATACTCGATCCCGGCACAGCGTTTCACTTCTTCTCGACAGTCCTTCGTGAGCGGGTTCTGGCAGAGGTCAATTGTCTTGGCACTCTTCTTGCTCTCCTGGCATTCATTGGATAGTGGCCGGATGAACATGTTCCGACGCATGGCAGTTGTGCTGACCTGCGAGCACCACGTCTCGCACCACAACCACTCGGTGGGCCTCAGCACTAGCAACTGATGACTTGCTCTGAACTGATGTGTAGCACAGTGTTTGCGAGCCACAAAGTCTTGGCAGCACTTCGTAGCACTTCATGAGGGTGCGACGAGGTTAGGGGAAAAGCGCACAGTGTCCGTTAGTACTGCTGGAGCATTCGTGTCTCAGCATCATGCAGTGTGAAGATCGGCACCTGGTGCTGGGCGAAGTTGGGCAGGTCCTTCTAAACTCCACGCTGCCAGGGCAGTACCAGGAGCAATTCTTGACCATACACGCTAAATCTGCATCATGACTAACTATTAGAAATCTGGCGCCGGGACACGTTGCAACTTTGACCGTAGGGTTTTGTAGTTTTCCGGAGTGGCAATCGCGCGCCATTTTCGGGTGTGCATCGTCATCCCACCACAGTCTGGTGCCTCCAGAAAGAACACCCCCACCAGTGCCGTGCACATGTTGGAGCTAGATGACATCAACTATCAACCTTATGATCAGTTTTACAACTATCCTGACAAGAGCCGTGTCCTGGTCCAAGTTCGCCAGCGAGTTGGGATCCCGGCTCAACTGCGAAGGAAGGGCCAACAAAAACAATTTGGAAAGCGATCGTGTTCAAAGCTTTCGGACTGTTTTCTAGCTGCATGCGGTCTCAGGGCTTACGGCTTACGGCCTAGGTGTTAGAGTTCAGGCGCTCCGGGTTTCGGACGGTTCGGGTTTGCTGCAGCAGCTCTTGGGGTGGAAGGGCTCGTCTTGGGAGTTCCAAAGCATAGCCGCCTTGACACAGAAAACCGCAGCAGACGCGCAGATTCCTCCCTAAACCCTAAACCCCTAAGCCCTAAACCCTAAACCCCTAAGCCCTAAACCCCTAAGCCCTAAACCCCTAAGCCCAAAGCCCTAAACCCCTAAGCCCTAAACCCCTAAACCCCTGAACCCTTTGACAAGAGACCTCTGATGTTCGGAAACCCGCAGGGACCGATAAGTCTGGAAGCCTGGATCTCGGGTGGATGCTTCTGCAGTGGCATCGCTCGGCTTTTTACAGTATAGAACTTTAATAAAATATTTGTAGTACATTATAGCATATTTTGGTATATATATATATATAATAATAATAATAATAATAATAATAATAATAATTAATAATAATAATAATACTAATAATAATACTAATAATAATTATAATAATAATAATAATGATAATAGTACATTATGGTTTCTTGTCTCTTCATGTTGCCCATCTCCCTGTCGCAACACGTCTCGGCCGCACGATGGGCAGCCCCCGACCTGGTTGTAGACACCCCGCAACGTCTCCCCGATGGAGGTCCGCCGGAACTGTCGCAGTTCGGAGCTTTAGGGACTTTAGGGCTTTAGGGTTTAGGGCTTAGGGCTTAGGGTGCAGGGTTTAGGGTTTAGGGTTCAGGGCTTCGGCGTCGATGGGAACGGGGTCTCCACTGTGGCCCTGCAGAGAACGCGGAGTCCTGAACCGCAAAATCGCAGAGCCTCAACCTGCCAGAGCCCCCCTCAATGCGCCTCCATCAAGTCGACGACAAAGAGAGCTGAGATGTGATACCTGAAAATCTGGTCCACGGGGGTTTTTCAAGGGCTTGAAGGAGCCTTGCACCGGAGAGAATTATGTAAGGGTACGATCCTCAGGCCCATATAACAAAAAAAACCTGGTATTTCGGGTCGACCACAGGAACTCTATTTTTCGGTGGTGGGTAACCTTCCTATCATTGTTATTGTCACTCGTCATTGCAGTAGCACTGAATTACCACGGCCTCGGATGATTTTTGGAAATGACCCTGCCTCTCCTAACTACCAATTTCTATACAGAAGAGAAGGACAGCGAGGACTGCAAGAAAACAGCGGCAGCAGCTGCAGAACCAGCGGCATGAGCGGAAAAGACGGTCTCACGACGAGAACATCTTCAATGGTACCAAAAGCCCGACTACATCAAGCAGGCAAGGCGTGCGGTTTGCCACCCAGGTGGCTTTTCCAGTAGCCTTGCTTCCAGAAGCGGAAGCCCTGGTGTCAAGGGCTTGTGAAGCAAAGAAGTTAGCTCAAGCTGCCAAGGCTGCTAGGCGAGCAAACATCTCAGCTAACCCTCAGTCGAAACTGCCACCAGCCATTGTGATTCATGGCCCTGGGACCCAGGCTAGTCACTCGAAGGATAGCGAATTCCATGGCCAGGCTTTCCTACTCCCCCTGCCTCTGTGTCAGGGTTCGTGTCACCCATCGGCACGAAGCCGTAGACATTGCCCTTGCAGCAGTTTGAAACTCCAAGTGCAGGAACAAGTTAGCTAGAATGACGATTGGCTGTCGCCATCTGTGTGACTCTTCTTTCCTGATGCCGCCGGAGCTTCTGGTACCTGCACTCTCATCTGTAGGACCTGTCTGTGGCGCTATTGTCAACACCATCATCATTGTCACCATCGCCGCTCAGCATGGCAATCATCATCATCATCATCATCATCATCATCATTACCATAGTCTGGTGTACCCCGCCTCCTCCTCCTCCTCCTGATGCTGGTACTCCGCCACCTTCTCCCTCCTCCTCCTCCTCCTCTCGTATCCTCCTCCCCATCATCATCATCATCATCAGCAGCATCATCATCATCATCATCATCATCATCATCGTCCTCGTCGGCATCAGCGTCGTCGTCACCGCAGGGTAACACCAGCATATCATCACCGTCATGTGTTTGTTAATTGTCATCATCTGTCCCGGACTGCGGTCATGTCTGTAATTGCCCTCCTCCCTGCCATTCTGACCAGTGTTGGCTACTGCTACTACATCTACTACAACCGATGCCTCGGAGTAAGCCCCGAAACGCTGAATCATGAACCTCAGCTCCACACCCCACGCCCACAGAGCTTGCCTTAAGGTCCAGGTCCCACAGCTCCTTCACGTCAGCCCGCACCACCTCAGCAGGGCCAAGGGCGCTGCCATGGGACTTCCGACTGACTGAGGGCCTGTGAGGTTTGGACAACCTAGAGAGTGTGCTCTTTTTTCGGCTCTTCAAACGGAGTGCCCGTCCTCTGGCCTGGTCAGCATCGATGAAGATGATCTTCGGCACGTCCTGCGGGAAGAGCACCTCGGCACTTGTGGAATCGGCTGGAAGAGCCAATTGAGCTTGGCAGTGCAAGCTCGGAGCCCCACATCCAAGAATAGGATCTTGTATGCCCATATCAGCCGCTGCTTCTCGCCTCGGCACCACGGTAGTTTCTCAGACCCTCCCATTTCGGGGAGGGGGATCGAATGATAGCCCGTGCTGGGCGGCATGCTCTGTGGGTTGAGCCATGAAGGCCACTTGTATGTGACGAAGTCGTACTTGAAGTTGTACCTTCGAGCATGTGCACCCAGATTCATCCCTGACAGGAGAAAGAAACCCATCACGTGGGTGGTTGTCAAAATTATGGTCCCTTTTGGGGTCCTTATTATAATACGGCACCTATTATTTAGGGTACCCCAAAAGGGACCATAATTTTGACAACTACCCACGTGAGGAATGCAAACCTCTGCCTACGCAGATCAACAGAGGTCGCCTCGCAGCCATCTGAGGGATGAACGCCTGTTTCGTCAATGACAGTCGGCATGCGACATGTCCATGAAGTCCGACACTTTACGCGTAATCAAAACGCCTCGACCTTCAAGACAATCTGAGAGCCAGCTCTGAAGAAAGTAACTGGGGGCAGCTGGTGGGAGGGGCAACTTGAGGAAGATGAATGGAGCCTTGAACTTTGGCGACAGGAAGTTGTCGATGAACCAGAAGTGCAAAGGGTTTTTGGTGTTGTTCCGGACCTTATTATAGATGTGCCAACAAGAAAGGATCGTGCACCACTTGCGCTCCCACAGGCGGTCCATGCTGAGGCTTGTACTGACAAGATCATGATACTGAGGAGCTTTTCGTACAGGTGACCACTTGCCACCTTTCGTCAACTGTGGAACGAGCAGGCGCTAAACATGCTGGAAGAATCCAACGGCCCTCAGCCCTCGAACCCTAAAACTCGACGTACACACGATTGAAGAATCCACGGCCCTTGACCGTAGACCTCTCGTGCCACAAGCACCCTAGGTTGGTCTCCTAAGGACCTCTTTCATTCTCTAAAACAGACTAATTAAAGAGCTAATAGAACCCCCAAAGTTTCGGTGTTGGGTGGGCAAGGACAGCTCAGCTCGATACGCTGAAGATGTGGATCGTCTCCCTCAGTCAGTTTAGTACTGGGTCGAGGGCTTTGGATTCTGCTCGGGACGTTACGAGCCTAAGCGAAGCTTCAGCACAAGCCGAAGCGCGAAACCAGTAAGAAAGATGACATGGATAACAACGGCAATGAGACTAACTATCAACCTGATATCAACCCTGACAGCGACAATAAGCATGAAGCAAGGCTGCTGGTGCTATGATGAGGATGATGGTGGTAAGGGCAATGGCTATAAAGAAGATTCTCCTGCAGTTGCTGGCTTGTGATGCATAGCTTGTATAGTATACTGTTGCCTTCACGATGCTACAGTAATGACCGGACTCTCTTCGCCAGGTCCCCCGCTCACCATCTCCGATTTCCTGTAGTTTCCGCGGGTTTTGCGATTTTTGGAGCTTCAAGTTGGCCAGAGCTGCTGGCTGCAGGGCCCCAAGGGCCTGACCTTCGTCGCCGGCGCCACCTCCTTCGCCTTCTCATCCTGGCGCCGCTTCGAAGGAGAAGGCGCGCAAGAACGCTCTGCTTGAGGCTGTCTAGTCAGATCTTGGAGCTCAGAGCCGACGGAGACAGCAGAAGGAGGGGCCCCGGAGCCTTCGTGCCGTAGCCTCCCCAGATGGACCTGGATGCGACAAGCCGGAGCTCCAGCCCTGGCAGCTGCACTTGACTGAGGCCCCGGACTGCAGCGCCCCCATAAGACCACCCCTTGGTGCAGACATCGGATGCAGTGGCGCTTGCAGGCTCCAAGTAAGCTGCGCATCTAGGACGCCAAGACTGCGGCACAGGTCGGTTCTGCTTTCGCTTCACTTTTGAAGATCCCTGTCTGCTCGCAGCTGAGCAGAAACTCAGTGGCATCAACCCTTGTAACTTGCACATCTGAAACCGCGCCTCCTCCACGAAGAGATCCTCGTGGCTCTTCCCGGGCTTTAGCCGCACGCGAAGCTGGTGTGGTGGAGTAATGTAGGAGGATACCTGAAGAAAGTGACAACCGCCGTTCAAGCCAAACTGAAGCCGTGTCAAGGTTGAGCCCTGATGGAAAGGACCGGAGAAGCTTTTTCTCTCCATCGAAATCTCTCCGCACGGCATCGGAAGCAAAGCCCAAGTTTCGAAGCTCAGCTGTCAAGGCCACGAACTCTTCTGTGGCCATCGCCAGAGGAGGCTTCGCCGGATCCACGCCCGCCCGTGCCATGGCCAGCCGCCAGGATTCAGGAAGGCTCTGAGCAGCCACCCGCTCCGCCACTTCCGTCAGCCGGGCTTCCAGCCCTTCGCCGCGTGTCGGCCCCCTGGTGTCTAAAAGCAGACGCAGCAGCTGATCCAAAGCTGCTGCGGGCACTTCCACGCCGCGATGACTGAGAGGCACCTGGTGCAGCTCCAGCAGGACCACAGCAGAGTCCACGCGCGGGGGCGGTGAGAAAACGTCCGGCGTGAGCACACCGGGGATGGCGAACTGCGCATTCGAGCAAAGGGCCTGCACCAACGCAGAGACGCGCCCGAACTTCACTGAGCCCGGCTTTGCCAGCAGCTTGCGCGCGAATTCGGCTTGCAACATCAAGACAACCCTCTCCATGGGAGGTTCCTGGCACAGCAACTTCGTCACTACAGCAGTGGAGATCTTGTAGGGAACGTTGCCCACAGCGATACGGCAGCGGCTTGGTACTGCCCGGCAAGCCAAGAAGTCGCCTTTAAAGACGAAGCAACGCGTCAGGCTGCCGGTCAGGTGGTCTTCCCAGGCCTCACGACGCAGCGTGCGTGCAGCCTCGGGGATATCCCTGCAAATCGGATGGTATCGACGTATGACACCACCTTTCTCCAGGGCCTGAGACAAAATTCGCTCGTCCAGCTCAAAGCCCACCACCCCTGCACAGGCCGGGCTCTGCAGCAAAGCAGCCGTCAGCGCCCCTGCTCCGACCCCAACTTCTGCCACCCAGCTCGCCTGTCCCGCCGCACCTTTCAGAGCCACCGCGGTGATCTCTAGCGCCAGCTTGTGCGACCGGAGGACGTGCTGGCCGAGGGCGGGCGTGGAGCCCGTGGTCAACATCATGGCAGCCCTTTCTTGTAGAGATCCCGGCACGAAGAGACTTCCACACTTGGGACACCCAAGGCGGCGCTGGATGTGATCACGGGGCTTCATCCAGAACATCCCGTGCTTTTGGCAAGAGATTGCGACCGGAGTGTGATTGTCCTTATACTGCGCATAAGTGTAGTCGAAAAGATTGCCCCAGATCCTTGTGCAATCCGCCTTGAAGGCTTTCTTCTTGCGACCCGGATGCAACCTCGTGCTGCCGGTCAGGGATGTCGTCGCATAGTCGCCACGAGTAGATGCCCCAAATCTCAAGGCTCCAGGCCCAAAAAGCACCGGCTGAAGCCTTTTTCCCCAATGCCAAAACCTTGAGACCATCGTCAGGCTCAGGGCCAAGTCTCGGGTTCAACGGCTCCGAAGGGCCAGTGCCACCCTCGCAGCACCATTGCTTGGGTATCCTCCTTTTCCGGGTCGCCTACGGCCTACCAGGGGAAAGGGGCTTTCGAAGCTGTGAACGACGGGCTTGAACGGACGAGTGGGAGACACGTCTAAGGGATGGGCATGCCTAGCCAGGCAAAAGCCGACGCCCAGCTGGAGCTTCCGACAGCTGAGTCATGATAGAAGTTGTGGGATGCCAGAAAATACTTGATCTTGGAGAGTTGCAAAGAACGGCCTGTGAATCCACCTGCAACCAAGATGTAGGGGCCTTGATAGCTAAAATAGGCTCGGTTAGCATAGGAACTGCGAGGAATAATAGTATAAATTATTTGGAACCATCCAGGCTTCTATATATTAATGCAGGGGCCTTCATCATTAGAAGAGGATTCTGGGGATATTTAATCATACTATAGCTCCAATTCAGGAACCCCCAAAACAGTGTTGGCAATTGCTTAGGCCCCTTTTATGAAACGTCGGGGATCTCCCGCCTCGAGGTCCTCGGAGACAACGAGCTGGAAAGTCTCACTGGAGAGGCCCGGCTTCAGCGATGCCTCGGCAGAGGTCTGGGGGCCCTCAAGGCCTTATCCGAAGGTCCTTTTCTAATGGTGGTAAGGTACCTTCCCAACACAAGAGACACAAATATCTGAAAGAGAGTGCTATTCAGAGAAAGAGAAATGTCGATTGCACGGCTGAGCCCGAGGCTTGGTAAAAACCCGGATTTCCTCGAACCTGGCGGCGCCCCGGCAATCGGATCTTGCGATTTGGCACTGCATTCTCGTGTTTGCTTTGATTGATGGCCGAAACATGTCTTGCACAGGTTGGTTGTCATACATGCCAGCTCCAAGAATCGGAAAGAGTATAAGAACTAGCTCCAGCAGCTTCATGTCACCGGACGGCGGGCCTGAAAATAGCCGAGGTTTCCCATCACGATGGTGTCGTCCGAAGCCTTCGCCAGCAACGTTGCTGGGAAATTAGAGCGATGAGTGCCCTTCTGCAAAACAGAGAGCCCTGCCTCTAAAGCCCCAGTGCCGGTGATCTCGAACTGGTCAGGCACGCAGCTTTCATCAAGAACGCTAAGACAGCAGCTAATGTCAGCTCAAGGACCCTATCTTCAAGTCATAAACCATAAAATCAGGATTCTTGAATATATTTGGGGGTTTCCGAAAATAGGGGACCCTAATATAGCACCCTAAATAGTAGGACCCTTGTTATAAGGACCCCAAAATAAGGTACCCTAATTTTTGGAAACTCCCATGTGTGCTTCATGCTTTTCGGCATGCCTTTCGTTGGACACGAGAAGGGGGGCCCGACCTGCATCCCTTTCGCCATGGCAACTGGCCAGCCCTCGTCGCCGAGGATCATTGCCTGGCCCTCCACCTGGCATCTTTAGGGTTTAGGGTTTAGGGTTTAGGAGTTTGGAGTTTAGGGTTTAGGGTTTAGGGTTTACCTGGCATCAGCACAATGAAACACGTAGGGGCATTTATAGTGAGCCTCATAGTACCCTCACGGTAACCCCTGTATGACCATTCAAGCACCATTGTAGTAAGACATACTAGTGGTGACTCTGAGAATGCGCGGCAGCGGACTTGCAACGAACGTGTCGGAACCACGTACAGCTGTCGAAGGACGTACCTTCAGCTGCTGAACATATTAAAAAACCGCGACCTGTTGTTGCTCACACCACCCGGTCCGGCGCACGTTGTGTCGCAGTTGCTGCCTGCAAGGTGAAGTCGCCATGATCTGCTGCAGCTTGAATGCCACGTGTGACCTGCCTCGCTGAAGGACGTCCACAGGACGGAGGTTGTCCATGTCGTGCTCGGCCTGCAGAGATGCCGCGAGAGCCTGAAACACCTAAAGGCCGGCGGCTGGCGCTCTGCGCCTCCTGAGCGGTCACGAGCCAAGTCGGCAAGACATGGACTGCCGCCGTCAAGGTGTGCCTTGGTCTCTGCGTCGTCAACTTGTCAACTTCACACGCGACGATAAGTGTTGCATGTCGGTGCTTCTGTAGTACGATCATGAGAGCGAACAACATCAAATGGAGAGAGCAAGTTCTTGCTGGCCAAGCGGTGCTGGTTGTGCATACCCGCACATCCACATCGCTTGACTGGAACATGATACAGTTGGCCCGTTACCAAAAACCACGCTGTCCGAGGAATGAAGTTTGAAGTGCACCCTCTCTGCTCAGGACAGGTGCTCCGTGGCGAGCGTGAAGTCCGCGCGGCCACCACCTACCTCCAGGGATGCCCGGGACTTTTGCAAGCATCCATGCGGCTGTCTGGAATTCTAGAATATACATGTATTGTTATAATCAATAGGTAGCAAGTTCATGTAGATGTCTAACAACAGTTTGTATGGGCCCATGAACCACAAACATCACCATGACGAACATGATTAATAGTAGCCAGCCGAACACCACTTCACTTGAGGTGGGGCTGACAGCCTTCGTGCAAGGCACAACATGTTTGCATTTTTTGGAATTTCCTTCGGCCTTCGGAGATTTAAATTTAGATACTGCAATGTTCGGTCCCGCGCCCAAATCTTGGTGCTGCTCCTGAAAGCTTGACTTGAAAAAACCCAAGAAAAGCCCTGCTTCTTCAAGATTTCAAAAATGGGCCAACACCCGCCTTCACCACAACACCTGCACCAGCAAACAGGCCTCAAGAGAATCTGCCGCCGAGTGGCAGCAGCGCCATCCTTCAGCTCAGCCAGGGTGCGGCCATCCGCGAGGTGCTGTGGCCAGCGGACCACCTGAGTTGCTGGTACGGCCCTCTGGGAGTCTCCCACAAGGCTTGGCTGGGGCACTTCAGAAACCACTCTCTCTCCTGCAAGGGTGCCTCCCGGTAGTAGCGCTTCAAGGGGTACTCCGACAGCTTCAACACCGGATTGAGGACCAAGTTCACCTCCCGAGCGGCGGGACGTAAAGGCCAGGGACTTACGGAGCCCGCGCCGTTCCTGGCCTCTGCATTGAAGGCCATTCCGAAGAGAGCCAGCGCCGTCGAAGCCGATTGGGCCGTGGTCTCGGATCGGCCGACTCCCAGCACCATCGAGCCACATGCCCTCCGAGGTCGACACGCTGAGGGGATCGAGGATGCCGTAGACCCTGCGATTGCAACAAGAGAGAGTCAGAGAAGGGGGAACGTTTCAAGCATGTAGCCGATGATTTCCGAGAGGCACGGCACGGCAGGGTCCCTTTTGAATTGCCGCCCCTCTCAGACAGGGCTTGGGGCCAGGCGTGATCGGTGAGGCAGCGTCTGGCTTCGCAGGTGGGATCTTCACCCTCGGCTTCTCCAAGCCAGGTGCATGGGAACATGTGCCCCTTAACCAGTGAGTTTCCTGAGAGATCAAGAAACTACCACGTCAGCATCTTCAGGCGCTAAGCCTCCACCCTCCCGTTGCCGAGGGCAGTTCTGGAAGGCAGCAGGCGCCCGGTTGAAGATCTTGGCAGGCTGAGTAAACCTCCACTGCATTGGAGGGATTTGATGTGTGGGAATGCGAGGGCGCTGAGGCTGTTGGGGAAAACCCGGCCAGTATTCTCCAGCTGAGACCTTGAGTCTTGTGCATAAGCCGTAAGCTCTCCAATCTCTCACTCGGCACCTATGTAGCCATGATCATCAATCAAGTTAGACGTGGCTTCTTTCGAGACCAACTTTTTTTAACCGCGATGAATGCTACTGTTTAAACTACATATGCAGATACCCGACATATCCCTCCAACCGACTCAAGAACATGCAAGTAGCGGAAACAGGGATGGTGCATCTCGGACAATCACGACAGGAAAGGGATCAACCGCAGAGGATACCGCACGAGCACACCATCATTGGCTTGCGCGCCTGTCGTGTTTCGCGTGCGACAACACCTGCCGTTGGGCACAGGCTCCCAGAGCACGAACACCCAATGACCGTCTCAAGGAAATTTCAATCAAAGGTATCCACAACAGTTTCTAGAAGCCCTACAGGTCTATGCTGCTGGACAGCCCGTTTAGCAAAGCAGACTTTGCCGCCACCACTCCAGAGATCTGATCTGCGTTATATACTTAGGCCCAAATCTTTTGCCGCGGCTCTGTAAGCTTTGCCGTGAAAGTGATATGAAACTTGTGGCTCTGTGCATCTCCCGCATTTGCGTCGGGAAAGCCCTGCTGCGGTGGACTGTGTGAGAAGATCCGACTCGCAAAAAGGTTGCTAAGCCTGAACTCGGCCCTAAATGTAGATCCCTAAAGCCTATAGATCATATAGCCTTACATAGCCTTACAGTATCACACTAACTAGATCATAAAGCCTTACAGCTTTACAGCCCGTAATTCCCCCCAAGCTCTGACCCTCCTTGATTGCCGAAACTCCGAGCACCTCGGAGCGGAGCGCGGCGACCAGCCCATAGGCACTGGCCTAAAGGCATTGACACTGCAAGTTTAGGGTTAGAAGTATGAGCCCCTAAAATGGACCCTCAGGCCTTTCTAAGGACCCTTAAGGGTACATACAGGGTATATAGTAGGTGTATAGTGATCCCAGGGTTAAGGGCCCATACTAGGGGCCCATGGGTTCAACCTTAGAGCAAGAGCTTGAGGTGCTCTTTATGACTTTATAGGGGGTCTCTGGTTTTCGAGTTTGAAGTTTGGGGTTTCAAGAGTTTCGGGGTGCTCCTCTTGAAGCTGCGGCTATCGGCTTCAGGGTGTTGAGCTCAGCCTACGTGACAGGTCCGGTTCGGGGGAGTCTAGAGGCTGCAGTTGTAGTGGGCCGTAGTTTAGGAATGTTTGCGTGTTGCTGTTGAAGATTGGGTGTTGCAAGCGCACGCAGCACAGTGATCTTGTATGCGACTGTTGGAGATTCTGTCGAGGTTTGCTCCCCTGGGTGAATGTAAGGGCTCAACCCAATTGTTTGCTGAGATGGCTGCCGGCAACGCAGCGCTCTGCTCATCGGAAGCCAGCCAGTCGGAGAGTGCCTGAAGTGTTCACGGTCCCTTTATCATAAGGATCCGACCATGTGGGGTCGATTTTGTCACAGAGCTCTCTGAGCTTAGAACTGCCAGCTTTATCTCAAGGTGGCGTTTCTGTCATGATATTTTGCAAGACCCTCTGTCCAATCTCAGATGCAGACTCTGGTCTGGTCTGGCTCCTGTTACGCATGAGTCAACAGCAGTGGCGCCCATGGCTCCGATCTTGCTTGCACCGCGACTAACCATTCAGAGTGGTCTGAAGAGAGAAATCTTGATGTTCAGGGTCCAACAATGTCCAACACGGAGATCGGCATCATCCGGCGCTTACGTGATTAGAGCCGTGAGCTCGAGACGGCTCTCCTTGCCGGCGGCCGGCTCCTGCGTGCCGGCATGCATGAGCAGAAAGCCCCACGAATGAAAAGGCCGGCAGACCCAAACCCTAAACTCCTGAACCCGAACAACCCCTTGCAGCACATTCACAATGCGTCGTCTGCAATGAGCACCTCCTCATCTTCCGGGTCCCTCTGTTCGGGCTTGGCAATGTCATACTGCCCCTGGCAAAGTCAAAGAAAGAAGACTTGGACAAAAACTCGGCAGCTCCGCATGACGACCTCCAGGAGCTCCAGTGCGTGCACCTGTTGGGAACCAGCCGTGCTCTCTCGCAGATCGCCAAAACGAACATTACTGGCTGTAACGGGCAAACGACGATGGTAAACGTTCCTTGGATTGCAAAACAGATTACACCAACGCCGATGGTGACGGCAATGTCGATGACTACGACGATGAAGATGAAGGTGAAGACTGATGATGATGACGATCGATGACGAAAAACGAAGACACATATGATTGAATATCCAGATCCAGATGACTACGAACGACGACGACGTCGAAGACGACGTGGGAGGACGACGTTGATGCCGAGTGCATGAGCAGGGGTGCGGGTGCTTTTCTTGTGGTGGAATTGGTGCCATCAGCCGTGGTGATATTAACAATGTGATTTCTCTTCTTGGTATAGATGTTGAAAATTAAGTCGGAAGTGCTCGCACTCGTCATCCAGACTGTCTGTCACAACATCAAACATCGACATGGTCTACAGCATCATCCTCATCCTCCTCATCATCATCCTTGTAATTTCGTTAGTCTGATTCCCCATTCTCTACGTTTCCTACCGAAGTTCGCACACTGCCAGGACTCAATAACATCACCCACCATCCACCCCCCGAAACCCTGAAACCCTAAACCCTAAACCTCTAAAGCCCTAAAGCCCTAAAGCCCCAAACCCTAAACCTTAAACCCTAAACCCTGAACCCTAAACCCTAACCCGAAACCCTAAAGCCCCAAACCCCCCAAACCCCAAGTTTGAGAGCCGCACGTGCCGGGCTGAAATCGGCGGCCCAGCATCCTGACCCGGGGGGTGGAAGCAGGAGCTTCCAAGAATGAGGCCTGAATCAATCGAGTAGGCTCTTGTACAGGATTCTGTAAAGGGATTAGGGGATTTTTCTGTAATAGGCTATATACATATATACATATATATATATATATATTCATTTATTTATTTGTTTATTTGTTTATTTATAATAGGGGCCTTGACAATTCGAAAACAGGGTTTTGCGGAAACTTGTGGCATACACATGTTTGAGAGCAGAGTACTATTAAGTGGTAGCAATTAAGGCCGCTGTATTACACTGGTAGGGTGGGATGAGTCTCGCCCTCCAACCTAAGACGATGGTGCAATGACGGTGTCCATCACATTTTGGGGTTTGCTAGATCTCGACAAAGATGCGTTCAAGAGCTTCAGAGCTTGCGCTCTGCTTTCTCAATGACTCAACCATCCACCAACCCAGATGTCAATGTGCACTTGCTCATCGCCAGTTCTTTCCATGAAAGTCTGCAAGTCTAGAGTCTAGCTAGAGTCTAGAGCCGCGCCGGTGCGAGTGCGCACCCCTTGCTAGAGCTGTTGGAAAGCAGTCGCAGCCCTAAAGTCCGACCCTTCAGTCCCAGATTCTTCTTGCCCTGGCCTGCAGGTCGATCCTGCGCCCGTTGCAGACCTGGCGTGCAAATCCTCCGATGCACCGATTTTTCTGCTGGCAAAAGACCGGGGCACGTGCCCACACAGCTGCCGGCACGGAGCCTCCGGCCATGTGAGAAAGGAAGTGAAGCAGTGTTATCGAAACGCTTCTGCCCCGAGTCTCTGTGTACGGCAATTCGAAAGCGGAAGCGGCTCAACCTTGCAATCCAGCAGCCCCCTTGCCTTCAGATGTCAGGCTGGCCAGCAGCTGTCTCTCCTAGGCATCGTGCTTGTATGCAGCCATCACATCGGCCCCACCATTATCAAATCCCGGATCCTCCATTGCAGCTCCAGAAGCAGCCAGGCTGGCCTGAGCCCACACGCCGGGGACGAGCTAGCATTGTGTAAATTCTAGCCTTGCACTCGTCACCAGTGCGCCAAAGCTGCTCTGGCTGCAGCGAACTTTTGCTAAGAGGCTCCTCCTACATCCTGCTGCTGTGCTGCTTTCAGACATCGGGCAGTAGGATCCGAGCCTCTGCTGTCGGCCGCAGCTGCAGGTCTAGCTTCTTCTCCACCGCCAGCCTGGTGGGTCCAGTTTCACTAACTGGCGCAGACACTGACACCCGAGGGAAAGTGCAACACACCATCTGAAAGCCAAGAACTTCGCGAGACCTCATCAGCTTTCTGGCTCCTCCGTTCGCCCTCCGCCATCCCACGACTTCCACCCCAGCCTCCCGGTGAGAACCTGAGCCTTTCGAGTCCCAGAGCTCTCCGCGCCTGCACAGCTCCTCCACGCGGCCCGCCGACAGGTCCGGGTCTGGCCAGGCAGCGCTTGGACTGTTTATGCTTGGGGAAATGTTGGGGTCGAGAGCTCTTGGGAGGAGTTGGGAAGCAGCTGCCTTCCCCGAGTTTCTGGCCCTGTGCCTCCGCACTGATGCTCTTCAGTGCGTTACGCATGCTTTCATTCATCCGGAGTGTCAGAGTGTTGAATGCAACTCGAAGCGGATGGACAGTGTAAAACCCAGAGACTCATCCACCTGCCCGCAGCGCCGTCGGAAGAGCAAGGCCCATGAATTTCAGGAAGCTGAGCTTTTGCCTGGTGCAGGGCTGTGCAAACTAGAGACCTCAATAGCCTGCAACCTGATGCGACGGGAAAGCACCAACCCTTCTCCCAGCTCACGGCCCAGCAGTTTTCGTCTTCTGCGAATCACAGCCGCGATGGGACGTCGGTTCCCAGCTCGTGTCGAATCCGTGTCACCTCGGCTGGCTCCACTTGCGGCAGAACACTCCCGCTCTGCGCAGTCTGTGGAAAACACCCTGAGTTCAAAAATCTAAAGCCTGGCGAAAGCCTCAGCTGAGCCTTAGCCCTAGGCGGGCTTTGAGGTCAAACGCGAGGCTCCGGCCGTCATCTCGTCCCAGCCAACGTCTGCAGCCACCGCCTGCAGGAGCCCGAGCCCGACCGGAGCCAACTCCAGGCACCTGGCAGATCACTCTCCTTCTTCGTCTAGTGACCATTCTTAGGCTTAAGATGATGTCATTGCAGCTGCCGTTTGAGGTGGCCATGGCCGCTAGCTGTGCTCAAGTCCATGGGGATCCTTCTTGAGCCCTATATCCGACGACCGACATCTCGCCTTGCAGCGGCAGCCCAGCCAGGGCCGCTTTCTTTGGCGGCTCCAAGGCCCAAGAGGCTCTGGGCGAGGTCCCTGTGAGCTGCGACACGCGGCGGACACGCTTGGCTTGTGGGCTGTGATGGCTGTAGTTGTGCAGCTACTCCACCAAACATGTGTGTTGCACAACGTGCCGGGGTCGCGACTCTGCAAATGATCCCTGTTGTGCGGGTGCTGCTTTACACTGTCCTTGCTACATTAACTGCAAAGATGCGACCTCGCTGTTGCTTTCACAAGGGAGCTTAGTGTGTTAACAGCCCGATGGACGGTACCAGGCTCCTCCAACAAACAGGAGGCCAGAGTTGGTGGCGAGAGAAGCCCCTTCTCCGCATTGCACCCGGGTGTGTTGTATCCACGCTGCACAGCTGGATCCTTTCACTAGTCGGTTGACACTAGAGCGCAGCCTGCTTGCTTCAACATTAACCTAGTGTTGGTAGGGCTAGGTCCTGAACTTGCTGAATGTGATACTGGAATTGCCAGTGCTGCAGTGATTGTACTCGAACTGCAAGGCAAACGACCTGGCACTGTGTTTCATATTTTGCGAAGAGGGCGGCAGCTTGAACGACAGGGCTGAAAGAATCAAGGACTTCGAGTGATAAAGTTTGCCGTGGAAGCTCGAGCTGCTCAACCCTAAACCCTAAACTTCCTAAACCCTAAACCCTAAACCAAGGTGATCATGGGCATACAGCCCGTGCTCTGCTGCCTCTCTCCTTGAACAGCTTGGCGGGCAAGCGCCAGGAGCAAGGGCAGCCAGCGGCGAGCCCGGCCTTCTCCACATGGCAATTCGTCTCCTACTGCATCTAGGTAGTTGTCAAAATTAGGGTCCCTTTTGGGGTCCCCTAAATAATAGGTGCCGTATTATAATACGGGACCCTAATTTTGACAACCACCCATCTATGAACCAAAACAATCCCCAGAAAGATTTGGAGGCTAAGATTCCCAGAAAGCAAAGCGAACGTAAGTGAAGCAAACTTGCAACGCTACTCTGCCGCAGGTCTTTCTCCGGCCTGCTTCGGGGACCATCGCCCAGCAAGCTTCGATGGCGGCAGCCAAAGAGTCCAATTCACGCGCCGTGGTCGAACTGACCTTCCCTCCTGGTCGAGTTTGACCGCTACCACCACCACCACCACCACCACCACCACCACCATCTGAACGATCGCCATGGTGACAACCAGCGACATGACAAGACGTCATGGTGACTCAAGGGACGGAGGATGGTGATGAGGACGAGGAAAAGGAGGAGGAGGAGGAGGAGGGACAGAGGATCAACGCGTCGAACATGAGGATGACATACGATTCAACAGACCTCTGGTCATGATGATAAGGGGACTGAAGATCATCGGACGCACTCAGCCTGAAGCGCCATCTGAGCCAAAGCCGCCGAACAACTCGGAGCTTAACCCGAATCCTTCCTCGAACTGAAAGCATCAGAAACTCGCGTGGCTGTTCCCTGTAATGCAGTAATTACGTGATTAGCTTCCTTGCATACTCCCGGCCTGCAGAAGCCACCAGCGGCACGGCCACCACATGGAGCTGTGGCGAGTTCTTCTCTTGCCGGCGGACGTTCACCGCAGCGCCCCCTGCTTCCGTCTCGGCCTCGGCTGCGTTTTGCTGCCGCCCTCCTCCTCCTCCTCCTCCTACTACTACTACTACTACCACCACCACGACCACCACCACCACCACCACCACCATGCCACTGCGCAACAAGCTCGTAAAGCGGGCCTTTGCTGCTATTAGCGAATTATTAGCGAATACATATCACGCCAGCCGGTGAAGTCACACATGCATCATGAAACGCCAAGCACACGCACTTTCCAAAGCAGGTTTTGCAACAGCCAAACACCTCACACGGCACGTGACGTGTTGAAACGGACAAAGAACGGGCTAGCATCACGAGCATTATGCTTAAGCTTTGATATGCTGTTGTGTGGGGGGGAATGAAGCTGAATCTACGGAAACGTTGAAAGCCTTGCAAGCCCTGGCTAGAATGGCATGGCTCTGAGCGCCAGTCCAATCTACACTGTTACTTCCAAGGCTGAAACAAGATGTCTCGATGTACAGAACATTGATTCGGCTACCAGGCCAGCCTGCATCTTTCATGCTCCACCATCAGAAAATGACAGGCTCCAGAAAAAGCTACACCACTCGCTGCCCAGGCTCTCTGATGCTCTACAGGTCTTCACCTCAGGGCTGGTAAGACATTACCATGCTCACTCAAACAGAAACCCTAAACCCTGAAGCCCCAAAAATCCTAAAGCCCACGCCCTGCAACCCTGAACCCTAAACCCGAAATATCACGAAATCTCCAAAGCCCGAAACCCGATCTCTTCTGCCACGGAGCCGACACGACCAGGGCCCCCATTTCGGGCCACAGCGCTGGGCCGAAGGCATCCTCGAGCTCCTTTAAGGCTGAAGGCTCCTATTAATATTGCTATTAGTATTACTATTAGTATTAATATTACCATTAGTAACCCGTAGTGTTAATATTACTACTAGTATTATGATGAATATGCAGCGTGTGGGGTTTAAGGTGTACGGCATGAGGCTTTGGGTTTGAGGTTTAGGGTTGATGGTTTAGGGTTTAAGGTTGGAGGCTTTAGCTTTGGGCCTAAATGTTTCAGGTTTAGAGTTTAGATGGTCAGAGCGTCTCAGGGCTTTTAGACCAGAGGTTCTTGGATTTTGAGGCCTACGGCTCAGGGTCTTTAGGCTTGGGGTTTTAGGCTCCAGGGTCTAGGGTTTACTGCTTGAGAGCTTAGGGCTTAAAGGTCTTAGGGCGTCTTAGGGTTGACTTTCCTTGTTTGGAGGGGTTGAGGTTTTAGCTAGCACGGGGATTTTTGTCGTACATTTTTCCGGCTTGTCGAGGTCCTGGGGTCTCAGGTTGGGAACGGCTGAATGCGACTGAAAGCACTGAGCCCATGAGAAGACCCAACTGAAGGAGCGCGTGACAAGAAATCTGCCCGTCACAGACAAGCATGTTGCCATTTAGACACTGCACCCAACATTCAGAACAACAGTGCCCGAGAAAAACTGCCGGAAGCAGTGAAACTCGACCCCGGCAGGAAACGACTGTCTTCTAGCTGAAAGCTGCGAAATATTGTAAATACCAATTGCGTTCCTGGGCTGCACCCCCCGATGTGGCATTAGCTTATTTGTTGCCCGACATGTTGCCGAATCCTGGTGTTAGCAACAGTCCAACATAACGGAGGACTTTCTTCTAATGCCCCAAAACAAGATTCCAACATGACGGAGGACTTTCTTCTAAGGCCCCAAGTAAGCGGGTGGTTTAGGCTTGAGGGCTTTGGGGATTTCGGGTGTTGACTTTGTTGACGAAAACTTTTTCAGTCTGGCAGCTCGCACCCCATCAGAACAGGTTCCACGTTTTGGAGTTTAGGTTAGGCAAGACATGATCATGCATCTACAGGGTTTAGGGATGAGGAGGGAATGATCGTCATCATCATCATCATCAGC